CATTGTTTGGCTTTTTCTCTTGTTTGTTGATTTTGCATGCCAGGTATTCAGTTATAACTGCAGCCATGCTGTACATCAGTTGGTTTGCTTCTTGCAGTGAGCTGGTGTTTATATTTGATATTACAGTATTGCCATCATTTAATACTTGTGCTAGCTGTTTCTTTGTAACAAGCTTCAGTGCAGGCAGGCTTATTCTGTTGTTTTTGTGCTGTTCTAGATGCTCAGTTATTCTTTGTTTCAGTTGTTTTTTAGTTAGAGGGCTTTGTCCTTTCTGAGGAGAAGGCAAAGGAGAGGGTGCCTGATTTGGGAATGAAAACAATTCAATACCTATGCTGACTTCCTCTACTACTGACTCCCCCTGGTTTGCCTCTACAGTCCAAGCTACTTCTGTCAAGTCTTTGGTTTCTTTGCCCTGAGTAGACCTTCGTAATTCTTCCAATTCTACTTTTGTGAATATTTTTTTTGTATTATAAATCAACATTAATCTGCTAGACTCTGTTCTGTTATTTCTTGTTCTTTCCAGAACTGGTGCATTCTTTTCATATATCATCTTCTCATTGGACTTGATTTGTAATAGCAGATCATTATTTCTTTCTTTTCAGTCTTCATATATTTGCAACAGGTAAATAACTTTTTTTCCAGTAGTCCTGCAGCTGCTGGCACTGGTTGCTCAACCAACAATCCTGAGTCCCATAGGCCACTTGTCACCAGATGTCCAGGAGCTAGAACACCTAGCGCGGTCCTTGTTGACCTGGGTGACGGCTGATCTGGTATAGGTTTCTGTAAATTACATCTCACCGTATTGTTTATGGGAGAGACACTCTTTGTCTGGCTCCTCTGATGAGACCTGTCCAGTATGGTTGAACCTCTGGCATAGCTCTAATCTTCCTCAGAGCATGGAAGCCCCACAATCACGTCAAGGTAGTGTCTCACTGTAGATGATGATGATGATGATATGATGATTTTTCTGTTTTGGTTAGTTTTGTTTTTCATTAGGCAATTTTGTGAGCAGGATAAAAGGGTATAAATGCCCAAATAAATTAACAAGAAAACAGAGGGGAGAGACAAACTATACATTTGCGTGTTAAAATCTATATAGCATTTGTTTTAGTGAAAAGGATTTTCCATTTCACACTGAAATGCATATTTCTATCCACAAGTAAGTGTGTGTGTGTGTATTACTGTTATCAGTGAAATATATCTGGGTTACTCCATTGACTTTTTATAGGTACTTGAGACTGGGTACTGAAAACCAAAACTACATAATGAAATCAATAGGAAAAGGTTTCACATGGACCCATGTTCTGATTTTTCTGTTTTGTTTTGCTTCATCATAGATAATTACTACGGTACTCCAAAGCCTCCTGCTGAGCCAGCCCCACTACTATTAAATGTCACAGATCAGATACTCCCAGGTGCAACACCCAGTTCGGAAGGCAAACGGAAAAGAAACAAGTCAGTGAGTAACATGGAAAAGACGGGAATTGAACCTCCAGAAGAGGAGGAGGAAGAGAAAGCTGTGGTCAATGGCAATGGCATGGCAATCACACCAGGTGAGGGAATCTTCTCTCATGCTTTTATACCCAGCTTTTGCAAAAAAAAACCAAAAAAAACCTTCTAACTCACAGATGGCAGTCTCTGAAGATACTCCCTCCTTCCCTCCCATCCTGGAATATTTAAGAATGCTTCCCTTTGAATCAGGACTCTGAACTATCCTCCCTTCACTTCCCATTATTAGCCAGAAGTAAAAGAAGAACAAGGAATTACAGAGAGCCATGGTTCTACTAAACTTTACAGAGGGGAAGCTCCTGGTGACTCTTCAGCAGCAACCATGGTTTCATGAAACATCTAAGGCAGTGTTGTCCAAACTTGGCCACTTTAAGATGAGTGGACTTCAACTCCCAGA